CAGCTTGGCTGCCTGGCTGTGCTCCCTCCCCGCTCCTGCACGCCTGCTCATTAGCTGAATATGGGAGACTGGAAAGAGTCCTTGATTTCACAGCAACAACTGAAAACATCAGTGTTATCAACATTTTTCTCGTACTAAATCCAAAACACAGAGGCTACTGAGACCAAAATTAACTTTATCCCAGCCGAAACCAAGGACAGAACTGTTGGAGCAGAAAGTATGTTTGCAATTACCATCCCCAGTTTGCAAAATAAGCTTTAAAAATGTGATTATGTTAGTTTACAGTAGGTGGGAGCCAAGGTATTTTTACAGTATTTAAGCATTAACTAGGATGGGGATGGTAACCTGGTCTGCATGTGGAGCACTTCAGCCAGCAAACCCACCTGGTATTATTCACTTTGCCATGTGTACTAAAGCTGGTCATATATAAAAGGGCAGAGCTTTTCTAACATGTACGTTTCTTGGACATCCATAAAATCTATAGAGTGTCTTATATTGGGAGATCTGGGCTTAAAAACCTGCTCCTAATTTGGAAAAGATGGGCTTTGAATCTGGGTCCTTCCCAGCCCTCATACCTCGCCTCCACCCAGCTGCCAGGCACACGGCCCTGCCTGAACCTCTCTGCTAAGTTCTTCTGCTGGGTTTGGCTGGGATGGAATTGCCTGTCTTCGTAGAAGCCCCTGTGGGGCTGCATTTTGGATTTGTGGCTAAAACATCACTGGTGACACACTGGTGTTGTGGCTGCTGCTGACCAGTGCTTGCACAGCATGAAGGCTTTCTCTTTCTTTCCCCCTCTGTCCCCTCAGTGAGTGGGGTGGGATGGGAAAGGCACTGGGAGAGGGCACAGCTGGGACTGCTGGCCTGAACTGGCCGAAGGGATATTCCATACCATACAACATCATGCTCAGCCAGCGCACTCCTCATCAACAAAGACTGGGGTAAACGAAGAAGAAGGCAGGGTTTTGGCTTCCAAGGTGGCCATTGTTTGGAGGCCAGCTGGGCACCCCTCTGCCTCTGGGAGGTGGTGTGTGACTGCCTTTGTCTTCCTTTAGGTTGCCCCCCTCCTTTTCTTCACCTATTAAACTGTCTTTATCTCCACCCCCAAATTTTCTCACTTTTGTTTCTCCTGTGTCCCCCCGGTCCCGCTGGCGGTAACGGGGGTGAGCAAGCAGCTGGGTGGGTGCTTGGCTGGTGACCGGGTTCAACCCACTGCCCTCCTCCATCCCAAACATGTTCTTCTTTGCTGTCTGCCGAGTCGGAGACATCTTCCCGGACTTCAGAATGGCAGCCAGCAGCAGAGAATAACGCAGAGCAACTCTTGGGTCAGCTGCGTCTCTTTCCTCCGCAGCGGTGCCATCCTGCGTGGTGCCCAGCGGCCAGGGGTCCACCTGAGGGGAGGAACGCTCCACGCAGGCTGTCTTCCCCTTGCAGTTTGGGGGACCCACCACAGGGAGACAGCTGCAATACGTCGCTGGGAAAGAAACCGGCCGATAATGTCAGGCTGAGGAGTTTGTACGGAAACTATTACACCCCACTGCGCGGGGATTTGGCTGCTGTGGGCTCGCCCTTCTCTGAAGCAATGAGTCTGGTCGCGATGGACCCAAGCCCGTAAGCAGCTTTTACCTCTGGCCGGTTCATGGCCCTGGGGAACAACTTTGGATTGGTTTGTGAGGAGGCCGGTTAGCAAGAGCATTGCTGCTCTTATTGCAGAAGAAGGGAGCTGTGGAAAGGAGGGTACAACATGCTGCAGAGAGAGAGAGGGGTGCTACGGTTAAGGTAGCTCTACACCATGCTGGAGAACTGGATTTTTTTCCTGCCTGTGCTATAGCTTTCCTGGCCAAGGCTGGGAATGTCACTTGAACCGTGCTTTGCATCGGTACCCCTGAATGTCTGAGCTTTGTTTTTGGGGAGCTTGATCTGAGATCCAGACTGGGAAAGTACTTGGACCTGAGATCAGTAAGTGCCTTAGAAGTTCACAGTGCTAACTGGCCTCACACCGGACCCCAGAGGTCACCTTCCTCTTCCGAGCTTGACTGCTGTGCTCCATGGCCCCGTGTGTGAACAGTGCTGATGATGCCCCTCCTCTCGCAAGGGTGTTGTGAAGAACCATGAAGAATAGCAGAGGCTTCCCTAGAGGGATTTAAAAATTCAGAGTCTTTAAAGCAGATGATAAACAAATTGGGGGAACACACACACAGGAGGTCTGAAAATGCTCTAGCAGTGAGCGGTGGTGATTCCTGAAGTGCTGTCAGGTTTGTACACTGAATGACACAAGGTCCATGAATTTGCAGCCGAAATCCGCAGCATTATGCATGAGCACAAAGAGACCAAATGAAGGCTGAAGATACAATTTTGGTTTTGGCACTTTGTAATTCTACGTGTGACTCCACTCAAGCAAATGTCTCTTAGAACAGTTTATTGTATGCAAACGACTAAAATTTTGCAGTGATATCCAGGCTTCCCTTCCCCTGTGAAAGGATTTATAATTAAAATCTCTGATACTCACCTGCCGTTAGGGCACCAGCGAAATTCTCTGCTGCCTGCAGTTGTTAGGATGTGGAATACAGTTCTGAGGTCAGCTGCTGGCTCAGCACTGAGCAGCTTTCAGCGATTATCTACCAGCATAAGCATGGTGCACCTAGATCAAACACTGAGGAGTTTACACAGTCACCACCCACTCTCCTTCCCACCATGAGGGTGCTCTCACACTCGCACGGAGCACAGGCTTTGGCAGTTTCCCACAGTCTTCCCATCCCCTTGGCAACTAGGTTTTATTTTTATTTATTTTTATTTATTTTTCTATTTATTCCCCAAACTGAAAGCTCTGCCACATGCTTCTCTGTGCTCTGAGTAACCCCAAACACAGAAGAGCCAGGAATATCTCCTTTGCTGCACTGTCAGTGCTTGGTACAGTCACTGCTTTCATCTGCTGGGTGGAGCAATCAGAGGCGACAGCAAGCAGCGAGCCAGGGAGCTGGCAGCAGAGGGAGAAGCAATACCTGAGAGACTGTCACAACTCAGGTAACCTCCAGCCGTCAATGTGCGTTTCGGAAGGCACGCTGCGCCGCAGATCCCTGCCCCGAGCCATCAGCAGTCCCCACCGTCCCCCGGCAGAGCTGGCTCTCCCTGCCCACGCGCTGCCCGGTGCCACCGTCCAGGGCTCCCGCACGGCTGCAGCTGCAAAAAAGGACATTGGCCCCACCTTTACAGTGCCCTGATCCAGAAAAAGACTTCAGTTGTCTGCGACAGGCAGGACATCAGCACCTTGTCCCGCTCTTACCATGAAAGGTTGTAGAGACCTGTGCTCATTCAGATTTAGCTATTGCCTATGCCCAGAGCTGTCCCTGTCACAGAAAGCACCTCCCATGCAAGGTCATTTGTGCTGTTTTAATTATTCTGGATGTTGATAGGTAGGCAGATAACCTTGTGTCTGTAACCCCCGCAGCATGAAAGAGGCTGGCTTCACTCGTGCACTGTTTAATGCAGCTGTCCTACTCACCACACGGTCGACCAGGCTGAATCTGTTCCGCTTTGCAGCAAGCAGTGGCTGAGGTTTGGGTCCAGGCACTCTCCCCAGAGTCCCTTCTGGCCCTTTGGCAGGGAGAGCCCCAGAACAAACACAGGACCAGCTGCAGGGCTGTTCTCTCCGGCGAGCACCTGGAGCACCAAGCTGGACAGGCACATAACCCAGCCCAACGCATTTGTACGCTTTGCTGTGCATCAGCCCGAGCGAGGTGAAATGGGGAAGAGAAAACTCCTCTCTGGTCTGCCGGGAAGTGGAAGCGAGAGGTTGAAGTCCTTCATGCACAGTTACTAGAGAAAAGCAGTGCAGGAACAGCACTGCCACACCTCGTTTGAAAAATTAGGTACTTTTCTGCTGTGTAGAACAGCTGCAGCATTTCTCCCTGGGAGGTCCAAAGATGTGAACTGCAACCACGCCCAAGCCCCTGGCTCCGGGATGCCCGTGTGCCCGAGCTGCTGAGGGTCTCAGCACGCCCCAGGCACTGCCAGCCTCCCTCCCTCTCATCCCGGCTGCAGATCTCCTAACCCGTGGACAGCCGGGATGAACGCAGCAGGCTCCTGCTGCCCTCTCGCTCCACTGCCTGCGCTGCAGCTGGAGCACAGGGGACAATGGGCAAGGATGAAAAAAGTGATTTTTAAAAAACATCTGAAATTGAAAAAGATGACTTTTTTTCATCCTTATCAGATGGGGATAACAATAAGTTATCTATAAGAAAAAGAGTACAGATCAGTTCCCAAGCGTTTGTGAGAGTGTTTGTATGCAGAACTACCATTGCCTTGAATGAGCACCAAATGCAACTCATACTTACGAACAACCCAAATTTGCATTTATCCATTCCACAAACACGGTATCTCAGTGAAAGCTTCCAGGAAGCAGGCTTTACAGAAGGAGTGATGCAGAACAGAGTAGCCACTTCTGTCAGGCAAGAGCTGTGCTGAGGTTTTGACTTTGCTTTGAGATCCATCTCACCCTGCAGAAGAAAAGAAAGCTTCTCTTTTAAATGCTCAGAGGACTTCAGCCTTTCACTTCTGCCTCCCAGAAGACTACAGCAGGCCAGAGGGGAGTTTTCTCTTTCCCATTCTGCAGGGCTTAGGCTGACATTTAGCAGCAAAGACCAAGTATGGAGGCTCTCTTTATTAAAAGGGCTTCACTGCTGGAATCACATCGCAAGTAAGGGAAGCCATTCTTTCTACGCATTCCCTTTAAATACCTCACCTAACCCTTACTCCAGCTGAAGCCTTCCTTTAGCTTCTGTAATACAGACCAGCCTTTGGGAACTAGTCTTTCCTGGAAAATGAAGTCAATGCATCAAGTCAGCTGTTAATTTTGAAAGGTGCTGTTGCAGATAAGGGCTTGTGTGAACTATTTCACAGCTATTTACTACTATGTTTTACAGAGCTGAGTTTTAAGGTGTTCTGAGCATTCTTAGCTCTTAGTAACTGGGTTAACGAGTATATGGAAGCAAGATTAATTTTTATTAGCTTGAAGTATCATATTTTATTCAAGTGATAAGAAATATCATAATACATTATGCATCTGCCAGTTATAGTCCATTTTAGTTGGTTCCAAAACCTAAGCAGTAAATGAGTAAGACAGTTTATCTAGTTAAACTGAAAAAACAGCATTCCACACAACCAGTACTGGAGATGTCAACCATATAGTAGTTCCAGCATTACATTGTTATGGCTTTCCAGAAAGTCAAGAAGTTAACAAATTAGAACACATCAAGAGCCATTTTCCAAAGATTTATTGAAGTAGCGACAGGTTGCTCATACTGTGCTGGAAAAAGCAGTTTTATTGAATTCAGATACTTAAAAACAGTATTGCAGCACAAGATATTGCTATCTGTAAACTAGACTCCATTGTAAACTCTAATCCTTCAAGGGAGAGTCAGTTTGCAAGATCTAAGACCTATTTCCTAGCATAATAATCTTGCGCTCATGGAAAAACTGCAGAAAGGCACTTGAAAGCTGTTTCTTCCTTTAAGACATGGACTTTTTAAATCTTGCTGGTAAGAATTTCTCCTGCATTAATAAGTATGCATCTTCACTTCAGCTTTACTCCAAGTCATCGTGATGCTGGGAAGTTTCATTAATAACCTGTTGAAAAACAGACACACTTGCGTTAAGTTTTAGTAGTGAGATTGTTAGTTATTTAAGAGTTAGAATTGGAATATCCAGTACCACAGAAAGGTGAATAAATGGGTATCAACTCTCACTTATAAATGAGAAGTTCTAGTTGGTAAATAGTGTACAGAAGCCATTTAAGCTTTATGGACCTAGTCTGAAAACAGTATCTTGTCCCAAACAAGTGCTTCTGTTCACTGTCACATGTTTTCCTCAGGTGATGTTAAGAGATCTTTTGAGAACTTGCTAACACAGCTGAACTTCAATACTCACTACACAGATAACTGCCAGCCACTTACAGTTTTACTATTAGATGACTTTTGTGGTTGTTTCCACAGAAGCCCCTTTGCTACATCAGTATGTTCAGCCACGCAGCCTGGACTGCCAGATGCTAAGTACTTACTACTGTACACAGGTTGCATTGACCGGTAGAAAAACTTAAGAGTATTTTAAGGTAACCAGCAGTGATAGAAATAAAACCAAAGTTACCACCAACCTGTCCATCCCTAGTTTCGACGGTCTTAATTAGAAGTGTCCTCTTTGAGTGAGTGTCAACCATTGGCTGAGACTCAATGTTGGTTTCTGCAGAAGAAAATGTATTATTACCAACAGTCTAGATGAAATGCCTCCTCAAAGAAATGAAGTGCAACAGATTCTAGTGTCTACTTTCAGAATCCCAATTCAGTGCATGAACAAGTCTCCTACTCTGAACGATAAGCTAATATTCTCCATGTTCCCCTTAAAGCACCTTCAGCAGGCATCTAAACCAACCATTCACTATGTACTGATATTTAAAAACATCTGTGCCCAGGAATAAAGCCATTCCTCCCATCTAAGGTTAAGTAATTGCACATTCTAGTTTTATCTAAGAAAAACATTCAAACACAACTGCATTTATACCTTTTCAAATACTAGAGTAAAAGGAACTATCCAGGACCCTTTCACTAACAATAGAACAGCTGTCTGAACTGAAGCAGCTTACCTCTCAGGTTCAAAGAAGCAAAGGTTGGAATAGGCATGTTAATCCTGAAGGAAAGAAAGAAAGAAACAGATAAAGTCAGATATGGGTATGGAGCGTCTGCTAGTAATTGCTGTTCAGAAAAGCATCTGCATGTGATTTGTACCTGCTCTCTTCACCCTCCAGCAGTTTTCTGTAGGTGGCAATCTCAATATCAAGAGCCATCTTTACATTCAGCAGGTCCTGGTACTCGCGGAGATGGCGAGCCATTTCTTCCTTCATGTTCTGAATCTCATCCTGCAGACGGCCAATAGTGTCTTGGTAGTTAGCAGCTTCAACAGCAAAATTCTCCTCCATTTCACGCATTTGGCGCTCCAGGGATTCATTCTGGAAGAGAATAATGAAGTCAAGCACTGCTGCAGTTCAGCCACTCTTCCCCACCCTCAAGACCCTTAAAATTTTTTAAAAAAGAGAAGCTGAGTTATGTTAGCATCCTTTCTGAAAATGGCCAGACATGCCCCAGATTTGTCATCTCCTTATCTTCCACTTGCAAAGTCATGGCGGGTTATTCTGCTGCTTGATCTGAGGTGTGCCATGTATTTGTTCTACTAGGTGGCAAAGCAACCCCTTACAATAAGCCCAACACATGCAGTACAAGTCAGCATGCAGGCAGTCCTCAGCGAGGGGATTTGCAGGTATACTGTACACTGTTAAAGCCACTTCAAGCCAGCCTTTAAGGCAGTCAGGTTCTAGCGACAGCAAGATTTCCACCTCCTTTCCACCACTCCTCCAGCTTTTTCTGTAGCTTCAGCTGTACCTGACAGACGAGCCATGAACACTTCCAGAAAGTGTCACATAAACAGTGAATATTACAGCAAGAGAACGAACTCATCCTTTATACCTTCAGACTAGTTCCATACATCAGTCTAACCAATGCACCATAGTGCATGTAGGCAAACTGAGCCCATTGCATCCTTTTCGAAAAGTACCAATATGCTGCTGTATTGCATGGGAGATCAGCTGCATTCATACCTACAGCAACAATTAAAGTGCAGTGCAGTGCTTACAGGTGCAAAGGGAAGAGTGTCCTGACAACTGTGGCCTTGTACTTACGCTTCCCTTAAGGGCATCAACTTCGCAGGTGAGAGACTGAATCTGTCTGCGGTATTCATTAGCTTCTTGTTTGGCCTGACGCAGGGCATCGTTGTTCCTATTAGCAGCTTCAGAGAGATCTGCAAACTGTGGAAATACCCAGTTTGGTTAGCGTAACACCTCAGCAGAAATGGTATAACAGACTTTTTTGGACACAGCATTTGAGGGCAACTGAAGCCATTGCAAGTCTTAACATTTAAATACTAGCATTACTCTTATAATAGCCTTTCTATTTCTAATTGTCAAATTGGAATTCATAGTTAAACCTTTCATATTTGTCTCCCCACCCTGTGCATTTCCCATCTCTTCACCATTTTTTTCACCCATTCATTCACTCCTTTCTCCAGTATTTCATCTAACGTCTGCTTCCAGGTACAAGCATAGGAAAGACTCCAAGTATGAACCCATTACTTTGATGCTGTACTTATGGCACAAAATAATGTTTTCAGCTGTACTCTTTGCAGACTACAAGTTTAAAGAAGACCCTGTGCCATGACTGTGTGCGTCCAGTAGAGAAACAGAGGGAACACCGAGTGCTACAGCAAAGCCGTCACGTGCAGTTAGTTCGAGTGCTTGATGTGCCTGAACAGATTTTACTCACTTTGGACTTGTACCACTCTTCAGCTTCCTGAAGATTCTTAGCAGCAACGCTTTCATACTGCTGGCGAACGTCACGCAGGGCAGCAGTAAGATCAGGCTTGGAAACATCCATATCAATTTGGATGTGCTGTTCCTGGAGTTGGGCCTGCAGTTCTCGGATTTCCTGGGAGAGAAGCAGACAGTTGGTTTTATTACACAACATGCAGAACACACATAGGTGGGGGACTCTGGGCCAGAACCAGTGAAGCACTTACTTGCTCGCTGGACTGTCAGCATCTAATCACAGACCTCATCACTCAGCTTACCTCATCATGAAGCTTCTTCAAGAAGGCAATCTCCTCTTGCAGGGACTCCACTTTGCGTTCAAGGTCAAGACGTGCCAGAGAGGCATTGTCAACATCCTGATCAGAGAGACGAACAATTAGCAATCTTACAAAACCATGCTGCAGACAAGACTTTTACAGCAAGTTCCATAGCATACAGACTAATGCTACATCTGAGCTTCTTAGCAAGACAATATGAAATCAAGACCTGGGAAAAACCTCGATCTTTTTGCCTCCTCCTACCCTAGCCTTAGAGACCACCATATGCACCTGTATTGTGATTTGGGGAATTATACAGCATATGTACATCACTTCCTCTTTGCCAACATATTGCTAAACACGATCAAGAGCACACTGACCACAGTGGCTGTAAATCCCACCTGAAGATGAAGCAGATACTTTGGTCACAAGATGAAGCAGATACTTAGGTCACAAGCCAGCAACAAGCTCTTTTAGCTTGACTACACTGAAAAAGAGTTGGTCTTGCAATTTTCAGGCTTCCATTCTTTTCAGTGGGGCTTAGAAGTGCAAGCCATGTGCCTACATGCCTATCAGTGGGCTTAACTTCTTGTTTATTTCTTACGGACTCCTTGGTCATCGACTACAGAGCCCTTTGGATCCACAGACCACAGCGTAAGAGCATACTTGTAAAGCTAGTGAGGTACATACAGGAACTGCAAGCATTTATTCGACAGATCTCCCTTGAGAACAAGAAGGTATAAGCATAAACGCAAATCGAGTTAATCATCACTGCCTACACCCTCACATTAGCTGGCAAAGACTCCACCTTTTGCTGGACAAAGATAGTCTTAATCAACAGAAAAAATTCATTTAAGGCACAACAGAAGATATGCCATGAATGTTACATGGGAGCAGCTTGAATTAGTTCAAAAACATAACTTCAGACTAAACATTGATTGGCAACTTCTTATGTTTTAAATGTGCAAACAGGACAGTTCATTTGCAAAAGGGAATGATTGTTCCTTTCATACTGGTTACACAAACAGCTGCACACTTATGTTCACATGGTATCAACGTCTCATGTTTTCACAGCTTACTCTAAAGCTATTTTGGATTTGCCCAAAGCGTAAGCATTCCTAATCAGCAGTTCTCACTATTATGGTACCTTCGAAACAGGGAGTGTTTTCTTTAGACTCCTAGAAAGCCACTCCTGGGATCACTCCTACTCTGGGGTGAAGTTCTTGCTCCAGAAGAATTCTTCTGTTTTCTTCATCCAGAAGAACACCCCTTTGATGTGTTATTCCACAACTTCCCTATCAACTCCAGTTTTAAACCCACAGTTCACACCGGCTCTGTTTTTCAATTCAGAGAAAGAATTCCTCAATTCATTTGTTCTCCTCCCCCAAAAACGCGAAGATCATTCTGTCAGGAAATTACATGCCTATGACCTAACGTGTTTACACAGTTGGACAGACATCCACAGAGTTTCCAGTGAATTTTACAGAAATCTGCATCCTGAAGACTGTTTTTTCAGGACAACTGAACAGCTACAGAGTTTTTAGTAGCTTACAACAAATTGAAAGGATGTTAAATTTAAGATACTTTGACTATATGGCATGTATTTTACTATTTACATCATCATAAAGTTCAGGAGTGAAGAATCCGAGTATCTGTATTTCCTAGATGTATGGAGAGCCACACAAATGAACAAGCTACTTGTAGCCTGAGCAAACAAAGTGTAAGGCATGCATACACGCAATTGGGCTATGCATTGATTTTATCCTAGGAGACTGATTAATGCCAGTCACAATTTGCAGGGTTGAGCATCCATGGTTACTTCAGACAAACCGCATGTTAGCCAGGAGCTGACCTGTCAGTCTTGTCGTAGGTTCAGGATCTATTCTTACTGCCAGAGCAGCTGGCAAAGCTGAGTAAGAAACTTTCTCATGAACTGTGACGCTTGTTTTGTCCCAAAGGAAGGAACTCACTGAACCTTTAGGTTTATTTTACGTAATACACCCCTCAGCATCTGAGTAGAATCATATTTCTTTGTTCAGGAGAAGAATTAAATTAGAATTCAGTACGTCTGAGCTAAACAGTCAGCTTTTGGAAATACAAAGTTTAAATTCAAATATTTGTTCACTTCTTTTAGAAGACTGAACTATACAACTGGTCCATCAAGTAAAAACTAAATTTGATTCTACATCAGAACAGTAAAGTATCTGCTGAAGTGTTGCGAATCCACGTATGCAGCTTTGCAGTGCAAAAAATATAACGGTTTAATGAAAAGCTGTGCATCTTTTACAATGGAAAGCACAACAGGATGTTTCGGCTTCAGTGTCCTGTGAATTTAGTTTCACTTGCAGGAGAACAATACTTACACTGAAACAGATTTAGTTTTCAAAACCTGCACGTTAAGCCTACCCTTACGTGGTAAGGAAAAATTCAGTATTACTGTTGTTCAAATCAAACATGCTGGCACGTGCCAGTTATGTCATGAATGGATTTAGTGCAGTGTTTCCACAGACAATGATCTGCAATTCTTACGCATAAGCTACACCTTAAGAGGTTAAATGGATCCAGTTCTGACTGTACTGCACACACAGATCTGCTAAAGGCTGAGCTCCTGAACCACCCCTTTCCACAGTGCAGGGAAGCGCTGCATAATAAATGTCAGATGCGAACAAAGCCAAGTTCACTTAAAAGCCTTGAGCCTTCAAAAAGTTTAATTGGTTTGAAATAGAGGTAGACATGCCTTGAAGTGCACCAATTAAGCATGAAACATCATTTAAGCCAGCCTTAAGTCAAAGGATCCTTCAACTGAATACAGCAATGAATTAGAATAGATTAGGTTCTCTAAAACTTAAGTTAAATGCTTCTGCATGGAACTTCACATGTTAAATTGTCTTAGCGCTTAAAAAAACAGAAGCTGAAGTTCAGGCATTATCTCAAACTGTTCCGTTTCAAACTTCTGTCCCCAGAATGCCAGAGCAGACTCTGAATTCCCAGACACCGAACAGGAATAGGTGTCTCTGTTTCCACACATTATCTCACAATCACAACTTGCTCTCCTTCAGAGACTACAAATATATTGTAGTCAAAAGCCCTGCCCGGGGAGACACTGACAATTAAGTGATGATTCCCTGAATGGTGACATCTACTAACATCTATGAAGAGCTTCAGGACGAAGCCAGCCTATGCCCAACTGTCGGGAGATAAGGGCAGCCGGGAGGAATGTTAGCAATGCCGTTTCACACCAGCAGTTTTAGGGCAGAGACCTTGTTTTGAGAAGGCACATTCCTAAACATCTCCTAGTCCAAACAAGACTTAATCCAAGTTGAAAGCTGGTTTTGCACAAGTGAAAACCTGAGCTTAACACTTTTTGAACACTGTTAGGGCAGTTGGTTCTGACTGTCAGGTAGGTTTTAGCTGATCTGGGCAACATCGTAGCATCCCACAGAGACTAAAGTCTTAAAGCAACTGTTTCCTCCGTTAACATCATCTTCCACAGAGGATTAAACTCTGCGCTCTTAACGGACATCCAGAGGAGGCAGCCGTGACTGCTGTGACCTCGCCCCAAGGAACAAATCGCCTACTTCTTGTCAGCAGACAACACCCATACGAAAAATTTTAAATTTGAACCAGTTGTCCAGTAATGCGCTGACCAACGTGATTCATCAAAAAAGGAGCTGTTTTGTATAAAAACTGGCCCACGCACACGATAAGACGCTTTTCGTTTGAAATATGCCCGCAGCATTACACATGTGGTAAGAATGCAGCCCACTGCGCCCCCCCTCCAGCACAAAGAAGGGATCTATTCTTTCAATCTGCTGCCACCACGCTTGCCATAATGCCTGTATCTGCATTCCACGGTGAATCCCATAGAAACCATTAATACCCTTCAGCCAAGCGAGCAGATGGCCCCCCCTTTCGCTTTTATTGGATCGGAAAGCGATTCCACGTCGGAGCGCTTTTTGTGAACCAGGCTAGACTTGGATAAAGCAAGACAATAGTTTCGTGTCCTGTCCCCCCCCCCCGCTTCAGATCGCAGCATCCCCCTTAAAGAAAACAAGGAGGGTTT